AAACATATTGGAAAAAATAATGGATTTGGTCTGTACACTAAATGTGTCAACTATGATCACATATAACATTTAGTCTAACTCATCAACATCTCCAGGAAAAGTACCTTTATAGTGTTCTGTGGAACTCAGCTATTTTTTAGCTACATCAGTAAGTATTAATTGCCCTCATTAATTACCCTATTGTATATAACACTAAACTCAGATTCAGACTAGCCCATTAAATATTTTCACCTAAAAGGTAAAAGTCAACACTTCTTTATAGTCTTTATTTTTTTATTATTATTATTTTTATAAATACAATGTTCTCATCCTGTTTTTCTCTAAAACTACTGTCACAGAAAAAAGTTCATAAGAATTCCTTCAAAAGTTGACTCACACCTGGCCAGCCGTCACTCAGCAGTTGAGCATCAACCTATGATCCAGGAGATCGAAGTTCAATTCCTGGTCAGGGCACACATCCCAGTTGTGGGCTCCATCCCCAGTGTGGGGCCTGCAGCCGATCAATGACTCTCTCATGACTGATGTTTCTATCTCTCTCCCTTNGGGCACACATCCCAGTTGTGGGCTCCATCCCCAGTGTGGGGCCTGCAGGAGGCAGCCGATCAATGACTCTCTCATGACTGATGTTTCTATCTCTCTCCCTTCCTCTCTCTGAAATCAATAACAATATATATTTTTTAAAAAAGTTGACTCACATAAAAGTAAAATACAATTATAATCCATCTAAGAAAAAACTTAATTCTAGCATTGTCTTTTATGTTAGATAAAAAGAGGCCATATTTCATCAAATCTAAGACTGATTTTATACACCATGAAGACAAAAGCACCACCAAATAATTGTAAAAATGTCATCAATTAGTCCCAACTTTTCAAAAATGTTAAAATGTAAAAAAGTGTCCATTTCAGAACTGACATTAGCTGTACTGTATGCATGATAATGAATGAATAAACAAAGAAACCTTCCCTGAGCCCCTACTATGTAACCAACACTGGGAAAAAATAAATGCCAAGCAACAGACCTCATCCTTTCACTGGGAAAATTAATATTCTCTTTACCTGTCATCTATCCATCTTTCAATCTCAGTTCAAGCCATGAGCCTTCCTCGACCCCTTTCACTCAGTCTTATGATTTCTTTTATCCTGTACCATTCACTTGACGTGCAATCATTATCTCTCCAGTGTTATTTTGCTTTTGGCATAAGTGTGTATGCTCACTCTCTAGCTAAATTCCTCTTTAACAGACATTAGTCTTTATTCTCTAAAGCAATACGAACTCACTTATTAAAATCTACTGGGGAGTGGGGGAATCTAATAAATGCAATGTTTTCTGTGTAACAGTCATATATGTGTATATACACAAAACATAAATGGATACTCTAGTGAATAAAACAGTTTTTATTTGAAGTTTAAGGGATCGTTAATGCTTAATATAAGCTTTATTGAAATAATTTTGTGCAATGAAACACGAAATATTAGTATCTTTCAAAAATGCATTTTTAAAGAGCTCCAAATATTAATAAAGATCACCTTCTTTCAAGTATATAAATCATTTCTTAAATATCAGGCATTTTGAAAAGGATGTTATTAAGTGCCATCAGTATTCTAAGATACAATATAATAACCCAAATATATCTAGAGTCATAAAAAGTTGATGTTGAAAAAGGCCTGAATTTAGGACAAAACTTATAAACCAAGTTAGGTCTTGAAAACAACATATCCAGTAAACAATTATTAAGTGTAAACCAAGTGCAATATAATTTCATAGAAAGTGAGAGATCAAAAAGATATGAAATAATGCACTGTAATCTGCCAGATATTTCCATATCCTCATGCTAAAATGTTTTAGGATATGTGTCTGCACTGCCATAATCAGAAACGGAATACAGTGTATTCAATCTAACTACAAAGAACATTTGTTTTCAAATATAATATAGGCAGTCTCCAAATTATGAAGGTAAATTTACCAAAAATTGCCTACAACCATTAATTTTTTTCCTTGGTCATGCTGTATTTTATATACAAATACACATTATTATCCTTATTGCAGTATTGTAATCCTAAGCACTGTAATCAAAATTTTTAAATGTTATATAAAACCTTTCGGCTTTTCAGAAAAAAGAACCAAAGAAACAATGGGCACTAATTTATAAAATTCATTTCTAATTAAAAGGCTTTGAAATGTCACAATTCCATAAATGCTTTTATGATTCTAAATTTTTAGTGATATTTATCTGAATGAAGAGTTCAGGGCATAAATTGCTGAGAAGATTTTTCAAAAAGAATCTAATTTTCCAATTCACTGAAACACAAAATAAACCCTATGCGGTTTAATGTAGTTCCAAGGCCATATATGTTGCTTTACATTCACTGTGCAGATTATATATAAACCCTTCTCAGTATTAAAGAAGGGTTTATGTTTAAATAAATAAATAAAAAGCATAGCTCCACTTGGTAGTATTTAATGTCACATATTATGTAATTATGGCATTATGAAAAGAGCCAATTAGACTCTTCCTTTCCATTGCCTCTATAGTTGACTAATCCCTATTTAAGTGATTAATCCCTCTTTTATTCCTCTTCCCCTCACCTATGCTTTTCATTCACGTTATAACCAAATTTTGTGAAGAGACTGTTCCAATTATCGAAGGTTTAATTCTAAATGTACAATCTCAAGGTTACTTCACCCATACACTTCCATATACTTCCACTTAGAGATCTGCAACAGTTTAGTACTTAAGTTACCAGGATCTAACTTTCCAACAACAGAAAAGATTGAATAGGCTAGATACAAGGAGGCAATATTCCTGCTTGAGAAACAGACCAAATGGAGGTAAAAATTAAGCTCAGCATACCTGAAGACCAATAGACACCTGTCTAGAATGAGACACTTTATAAAGAGGTAGGACATAAACCTTGGTTAAATTGGGCATGTCTATGTTGTAGAGATCGCTAAAGATCCAGCACAAACTCTCAAACTTTTTTAACTGCTTTGCCCATTTTAATTGATGTATATACCTTTAAGCAAAGACAACATGGATAGTATACCTCATTAATTTTCTTCAGAAAACATATTTTGTTACCACTAACCCTAGCTGGTGTCTCCTGAACAAAACAATACATACAACACCAACTAGAGTTATAACAAAAGAGGGAACACTTCCTAGGAGTGAATTGTCATTTTCTTAAAAAACAAATCTGAGCTAAGAAATAGGATTATCCCAAAAGTGATCAAAGAAATAGAAATCTAATTAGCCAGTTCACGGGGAGGCTGAAAGTAGAAGATACTAGATTTAGACCCAAGGACACAGAAATCCATGTACAAGCTAGAATAAAAAAGATGAATTTACAAGTAAACAGAGGAAGCCAGCCAGTAAAGAAAGAATAAAATGACACTCAGAAAACTATGAGAATGTTCAAGAGGCAGATAAAACAAACAGCAAGGCCATCGTCCACAGCTGCCCTAATTCTTAATGGCTTTCCTATGCTAGCTTAGAGCAAATCCCCACTCTCTTGAAGTAATTTGCGTCTGCGTTGTTCACAACCACACAACTGCAACCTAAGTTATATGTGGTAACTTCTTCCAGTGTTCCCCTTTCTCCCTCTATAGTGGGTAACTACTATTACTGACTGACAGCATCCCCCTCTGAAAAGCATATAAGCCTCCCTTTCCTGTGACAGAGAACCCATTCCTGCGGTCTGCCTGGGGTTGATACCACCCACTCAACCCCTACCCTTCTCAAACATGCACACACTCATACTCCCTTTCTGGCAACTGCTCCTATACACTCCCGCCCTCACACTAGCCCATGTGCTTTCTCTCAAGCACACACTTGCCTACATACTCTCCCACACAAATAGGAGTGACTATATGACTCATGCCCAAGCAATACAAACACCCATTCCACTAGCCTTGGTAATTTGTTCAGGGCTGTGTACAAGGCCCCATGTAAACCAGTAAAAGTCCTCCCCATGACTTTCATACAGGACAATCAGTAGCCAAATTGCCAGCCCAATGCAGAAACATACCTACTGAGTGACAGAGAACACAGTCTTAAAGAGACTGATTACTTGCAGCCAAACCACCTGGGGTGACAAGGACTGTCTTTCTCTGCCATTGAGCCTGAGGGTTCCTGATACACTCTTCAGAGCCCTAAGTCAAATAATGAGGGCAGACCAGAGAACTCATTCCTCTATTTCTGGCAACAGAGAGGTCTAAAGAACCAAGAACTTTTAGTAAGTTTACTTAATTGTATGACTATAAAGTGAACAGCTAGTCAAGAATACAAAATTGCTCCTCCGCTGGACCCTGACTCCACTTGAGGCCAACTGCCTGAAGCTGACGTTTAAACTGAGGACTGATCTTTAAGTCGAAGGCTGCTTTCTCCGTTTGCTGCCTCCCACCCCCAACCTGTGTCTTTTTGCCAAACTGTCTGCCTCTCCCCAAAGATTCTGGTTGGGCTAGAGGCTGAGCACCTTTGGGAACATTTAAATGAATGTGTGCACAATGCAAAGTGTCTTTAAAAGCATGTTCTGATATAAAAAAAAGAAAAAGAATACAAAATTGAAAAATAAAGACTATAAATTGCCTCTTCCATCCTTCCCTGAGATCCCCCTCAGTACTGGTACAAAAAGGAAAGGACAAGCCCACTGTTCCAAGTTTGAAAAGCTAACATATATTCCCACCAAAAATGTAATTTTCTAGTATGAGCCAAGCATAATATACTCACACAATTCAACAGCACTTCCAATAATTTTGACACCCCAGGAAGAACAATTACCAAGTATTACAGTTAGAAGTAACCTTAGAAATTATCCAGATGAATCCTCCAAACAATCCTCCCTTTTACTTAAGAAAGGTAAGGCATGGCAAAAGTATGCCCAATAAAATTTAGAAGTCTTCAAATTCATGGATCAGATACAGGACAAATGAGATCACTATTAGTGCCACAATATATTTTAGAACATCCAAATTAGGTTTAGTAACAAATCTAAGTACTTACGTTAAGAAGTAATTCATCTTTTGTTTTAATAAGAGGAAAATTCTTATTTTCCTTCTCAATTTGTAAATCGTCCTCTCCATCGGACAGCACTGGAGGAAGCAATATTTGAGAGGAAGAGGAAGATGAGGAAGATGATGAGGAAGATGAAGAGCTTGAACTATCTGAATCTGTCTCACTGTAGGAAAGAAAAAGTTGAAAACTTAGTAAGTAATATGATGGTATTAACATATTTATTCGACTAGGAAATATCTACTTGAATACATGTTCACTGTTGCTAATATAATTCAAAAGCTAGCATTTGAAGTTGACTGTGGTATTTGGAGAGTAGTCCTTAACCCACTAATAACATTTTCAAAACCCCTGCTATAACTGCAACCCACCTATTACAGTAGCCTTATACATCACACATCTGTCTTCATATAATTAAGTATGTGACAAATCCCTGACAGAAGAGAGCTCTGGTTGATACACATCTCTTATTGGTCACCAATGACCAGCCCACTTAATTGCCAATAGTTTCTTCTGAGTCTTTAGACAACTTGAAAACTCAAAAGTTACCAAACTTGTTGACCATTCTATTCTCTGAAAACTCCTTTAGCCTGTGACTTCCACAGCAATTCTTATTACCAGTAACCCTCCTCTAAGTTTAAGTTTTGTTTGCTGGCTACCTCCTTGTAAGTTGTTTCTGAAAGTCCCATCCTTATTCTCTTCTCTCTGTATTCTTCCCATGGATAAGCTCATGCACTCCAATGTTTTCAGTCACCATCCACATGCAGATAACTCCTAAATCTTCAGCACTGATATCTCTAAATTCCAGCCCTAATCTCTAATCTCCAGGCCACCTCAGTATGAATGACCTACGCTTTACCTCACACTAGGAACAAGTTAAAAGGAAAAAAACCCCTGTATTTTCCTTACTGAATCACTTCTCTCCTTGAGCTTCTATTTTATTACTTAGTCTTTAATCCAGTTACTATAGGTAGAAACCTTGGAAACACTTTGAGTTACTGCATTCTCACAGTCAAGGATAAAATCCTATCTTCAGATTAGTAAACATCACTCCTATTCCACTTCATCCCATTTCCACCGCTACTCCTATTTCAAATACTTATTTCTCACATGCTTTTCTGTAATAATTGTATAAGTGATGTCAATACTAGTCTCTCCCCACAACAATCACCCCTTCACCCTATTGATGTCTTGCTATTACCTTCACCCTCTCATGACCTTTCATCTTAATCAGTCCACACTCTTTGCTTTAAAAAAAGCCATTCAAGCAATCCCTATGTTCACTGCAGCATTATTCATAGTGGCCGAGACATGGAAACAACTGGAGTGTCCTTCAATAGGTAATTGGATTAAGAAGATATGGTACAATATACAATGGGCTACTACTCAGCCGCAAGAAAAGATGAAATACTGCCATTTGCAACTACATGGGTGGATCTTGAGAATTTCATGGTAAGAGAAATGTCAGAAAAAGTTAAGAACCATATGATTTCACTCATATGTGTGATATAAAACAAAGCAACAAATGAACAAACAAGAAAAACAAACAAACAAAACTCATAGACAGAGATGACAGTATGGTGGTTACCGGAGGGAAGCAGGTCAAATATATGGTCACAGAAGATGGCTTGACTTTGGATGGTGGGAACACAATGCAATATACTGATCATGTACCACAGAAATGTACACCTGAAACCTATATAATCTTATTAACCAATGTTACCTCAATCATTTTAAAAAAAATAAACAACCATTCATGACTGGACATTAGATGTGAGAAATTATTAATTTTGTTACATGTGATAACAGTATTATGATTATGTAAGAAAATATCCTCTTAAAGAATGAGAGCTAAACTATTTAGGAATAAAGTATCATGTGTAAATGACTTTGAAAATGGCTCAATAATGTATACATGTGAACCTAATAGTTCTGAAATGTTAATAATTGTTAAATCAAGGTGATGGCTTTATGGGTTTGGACTATTCTTCCTATTTTTTATTAAGAAAATATTAAAACACACAGAAAAACCTTAACTTTTCCCCCCATAAATCTACACTGTGTACAAGTTAAAGGACATGCTCCTTAGCATGACATCTCAGAGACTGTTACAATCAGGTTCCTGGTAACCTTCATAATCCCATCTTATATCACTTCTCACACACATCTAGCAAAGAAGCTCATATAACTTTCCCTTTGTTTGTGCTATTTCCTTTGACTGGAATGTAGAGAAGTTCTATTTCTCCTTATAGGTTCAACTAAAATATTACCTCCTCTAAAGCCACCCCCTACCCACCCGAAGTAGAATTATTTACTTCCTTCCCTATCCCTTAGGGCACTTTTATCAAACTGCCTGTCCCATACTATACCATAATTCATTGAAAAATATGTCTTCCCAGCTGGATTATGAAGGGCTTGAAACCAAGACATTAGCTCTGGCAAGTATTGTCTTTCCTCCTGTTACAGGGGGAGATGGGCAAAGGCCAATTTCACCCCTTGGGCTCAGGAACCCATGTCATTTGCAAGTGAACTGCTTCCTATTACTGTAGTATGAATCTTTCCCTCTATCCCAGAGAAATCTCATCAGCATACTAACAATCTGTAGTACCTCTGTTTAATCCCTCCAACTATGGGCTCATTTCTCCCTTTAAAATTTCTTAAAAGGGTTGTTAACACATCCTGTCTCAAAACTTTTATTTCTCTGTCTTTACCCCTAAATTGGCTTCCATCACCACCATTCCTTTAGAAGGTCACCAATAATCTCCATGTTGCCAAGTCTAGTAAACATCTTTCTGTCATCTTACTTAACATCTCAGCAACATCTGACATGGTTCTCCACTCATTTCCTCAAAAACCCACTTTTTGGCATGCACTATGCTACGGTGGTATTCCACCCTCACGTAGAGTCTTCTGTCTTCATGACTTTAAATATGCCCTTCACTTTAACAAGACATAACATTCAAATGCACAGTTTGAACCTTGTTTGAATTCTACCTCAAATAACCAACTGTTAAAAGACAACCTTCAGACAACCAGAAAAATCTAAATACAAATAGAGCATCAGGTGATATTGAGGAATTAGAATTAATTATACTAAGGTTGATAATGACATGGTAGTTATGTAAAAAGTATTTTATCAATTAGAGATGCATAATAAAAAATTTACAGGTAAGGTGGCGTGCTGACTGAGATTTGCTGTAAAACTACCAGGTTAAAAGAAAAAGTTGGAAATGTGAGATAAAACAAGATTAGCAAAATACTGGAAACAAGTTCAGTGATGAGTATATGTCCATTCATTATATTACTCTCTACTTTTTCCAAGTTTGAAAATGTCCCTAATAAAAAGTTAAAGTTTTATCTGAAATCTAATGATGCTGAAATGTACATCTCCAGCCCAGAACTGTCCTTCAAACTCTAAACTCAGTATACTACCACTGCTTGCCTGACATCTCCAATTGGCTGTCAGAGAAATCTTATAGTAACTGGCCAAATTAAACATTCCCACTGGTCTCCAACCCTATCTTAGTAAATAGCACCACAATCCACCCAGTTGATGGCTCTTGTCTAGCCCACTGCCGCATCTATTAGCAAGCCTGATCAGTGTGACTTCAAAATGTTAATCCAGACACAACCATGGTCACATCATGGACTCATGCAAAGTCTTTCAACTATTTCCACTCTGGCTTCTCTGCTTTTACTCTTGAACCCAATTCAATTCTTCCTCTACAAAGCAAAGCTTATTAGAATGTTAACCTGTGCACGCCATTGCTCTGCTTAAAATCCTTCAACAGCTTCTCTAGCACTTAGAATTAAAACCTTGACATGGCAACAGTGTCCTACAGGCCTGGGCTCTACTAAGACTTTCTTGGTGCTGTGCTTGTCCCTTCACCGTAATTTTCACCAACTCTACTTATTGATATGTTTACTCATATTTTTCATGTGTTCTGTTTCCCACAAAACACTCAAATACTTGTAAATTTGTAAACAATGATTAGTGTGGGTAAGGAACATCCGACCTACTTAAGTCCCCTCCCACCACAGAAGTGTGACATTTAAAAGATACAGGGAGGCGGGGCAGGGGAGGGAGGCCTTACAAAACGGAATCAGAGCACAGGACACTACTAAATAGCAATGTCCTGTTAATTTCACGAACACATGCTCCCCACAAGGATTATAATAATTAACAAAATTGCCAGGAGCCGATTTGTAAACACATAAAATCCTTTAACTAATCCTCAACTCATGTGGTTCAAAAACACGACCACACGCTAAAGATGGTGGAAGAATAAAAGATCTGACACAAAACTCAAAAGTTATCTCCACAAAGGGACACGTCGAACTAAGTATTATGGAAATCATCCAAAACCCTCAGGTTTTCTATATTTTAAATGAAAATGCCACGATCTATACATAGCACCTTTCACACTATCAAATTCAGGGGCGAGAGATCTGATTATCGGGCTCAGATTCACCGCGGGATCTGCAGGGAACACCCAGAAATGGGCGGTCCCGGCTACTTGTCAACACGTGCGCAGGGAGCTTCAGGGACCGCCCCTCCCTCCCGGGCGCACGCGGGCCCGTCTCGGCCCCGGGCCCCGGATCCTCCCGCAGGTGACACAGGCCCCGTCCCAGCAGCCTCGGGACCGCAGGCACCCGACCTTTCCGAGTCCGAATCCGAGTCCGAGGTCTCCAAGGAGTCCGCGGTCGGCACCCGCTCCGCAGCGCCCGGGCCGGTGACGCATTTCCCTCCAGGTTCCGGGCCCAACTGTGGCGCGGGGTTCCCGCCGACGGCTGCGCTCGGCACGGCTTCGGGCGGCCGCTCCCTGGCCAGCGGAGCCTCCGCGTCCTGCTCAGTGTCTGGGGACCCCTCGTCCGACTGTGGTGGCGGCGGCGGCTCCGGGACGGGAACGGAGTCCGGGGGCGGCCCCGCCTCACCTTGGCCAGCCCCCAGGCTCGTGCCGCAGAATTTCAGAGTCTCCAGCTGAGCGGCGGCGGCCTCCACCACTTCCATGGCGTCTCAGCAGACGCCCGGGCAGGCTCAGGTTCTTCGCCTCGGACAGGCTGCCGGCTCGCTCTGGAACTACAACCACCTTCGCAGTGGCTAGAACCGCGCCTGGGCCCCACTTTCCGCGCTTCTCCGGTAACTACACGCGGGGTTACCGGGAGACACGCCCCCGGCGTGTACTCAGCGGCACTTCCGGGAGAGCGCGTGACGTAACGGGACGCGAGCGCGCTCGGCGGGGGCGGGGCCGGCCGCCGGACCTTTAGGAGCGGGACCTCGGGCGGCCCTGAGCTCCCCGTTTGCTGCTGTGGACCTGTGTGCGGCTCAACCACACGGTCAGGTGGCTGCACTCAGTCCTGCGCCTGGGGCAGTTGTTTTGCAAGCGAAGATGTGATCGTGCGAGTCTCTGTACTTCAGAAACTCGAGCCAGGAAATCTTGAACACTTTTAGTAAACTTCACTAATATTCAGTTAAATTGGTTGATTGATAGCAAGTACATTGGTCATTGATTCATCTCAAAAAAATTACTATTTTTTTTTTCTTCTCCAAAGCAGCCTCGAATTAAAGAGAACAGTAATGGTGGACTAAATGTTGCTGCTTCACTGATGTCTATCCTGTTGTTGACACTGCTTCGCAAAAAGGGTGGGAAGAGACTAAACTGTACTTAGCTTGGAAAACCATTACTCCAGATCATAAAGCAAACAAGCAAAATGTTCTTAGGGTTAAGGCAGGGCTCAGAATGTTATGGTTCCCTATTGGAACTTCAACTTGATACATCAGATAGTCCAGTAGTAATAATCATTGTTACCATTTATTAAACATGCATATGTGTCAAGGACTGTGCTAAAGGTTTTATCAATGAGAGCCCTCTGGAGAGGGATTGGTTCCAGGAGCCTGCCCCCCCACCCCTT